CTGCATTTTTGGGTGATAATCCTGATTTTCCTTCTCTATTGTTGATGGCTCTTATGTATGTTGTTGTTGGTGGGCTGTGACATCCTTGTAGACTGAGTTTGGGTGTTTTTACCCTCAATTTGCATAATAAGAGATGAAGAGGGCGGACTCCCTATAAGTCCCGTGGTTTTTATCCTTCACATCGAAGGGGTTTTCCACGTATAAAAATCGTGTGTCGTTTGCATCTTTATTTTTCATATTTTATTGTGGTTTATTTGATGTGTTGCTGATTTTGTGTGCTTGGTTAATCAATTGTGGTAAATTGGGTCAAGTGTTTGGTTGGTTGTCTTGAAGTTGATCCTTGTAGGTGTCGTATCCTACTTGTTGCTTCTCCCCCAACAGTAAGAAGTATAGATCAAATGGAAAATAGATACTCCGTATGTGCTAGGAGTAAGGGTAGACTTGGGAAAGCTTGATACGAAGTGGTCTAGGGTGATACACGCCCACGTGAATGATTTTGCCGTGGGTGAGAAACATGAGAGGGCACAATGTCATTGTTTGGTTCATGTAGCCGACTCTACTTCGTGGATACGATTTTGTTGTTGTTATTGTTGTTCTTGTTGTATGAAGATTTTTTGAGGTATAAAAATTAATTTTGGTATACACCTGATGTAAATTTTGTCCTTGTTTGATAAGAACACTAGTGTTTTGGAAACATCTATCCAATAAAATAATTAATATTAAGATGTATTCCTAGTGTTTTCTAGGTTGATCTATATTAGTAAAAGTTAGGTTATAAATGTTGTTCTCAACCAACCAAGTAAATTCTTATGTGGTCCAAAAGTCTATGCTTATTTTATCATAAAAGAATGAAGTCTTTTACAAAAAAAAGATTCACTTGTCAGCCCAGGAAAATTGTGAAAAGGTCACATTTCATATGTGAACTTTAAAACCACAGAAGAACAAAAGTTTTCTCTACATAACCGGAACAACATACATTCTAGTTTATTAAAAATCATGCTAAGAGAAAAATTACGGAATGATAGAGTAATTGTTTTTGTTTCTCAGTCTATGATTTTAATTTTTTTTGAAGGTACAATTGTTAATTCTTAATGCTAGATTCAAAAATAAAGAGTTCACAAAAATCATAACTTTAGCATAAGAGCATGGGCAACGACGTATACCTTACCATGTCTTGGTGCCACATCACCATGGAGAACGCTGTTGCCGTGCGTGGATAGAGCATGACACCCTTCTTTGCGAGTCACGAGCGTGGCAACCTTGCACCTATTTTATTTTTTTTATTTTTTTCTTTTCTTTTTTAAGGACAAAAATCTATTAATTTTTTGAGTAAGTAGTAATATTTTTATGATAAATTAAATAAGTATAATGCGAGTAGTTTTTAATAATTAATACTCCCTCCGTCCCATGAAACATGGGACTTTTGCTTTTTAGGGGGATTTAAGGGGAGTTTATTTTGGTATTGAATTTCCAAAAATGTCCTTTTGTAACGCCCCAAAACATACCCTAGAATTTTTAATGAATAAATAATCAATTAATCACAATTGTTTTGATTAAAATAAATTATTGTTGGGCTTTGGGCCGATATGAAATTTGTTTTGACATCTAATATCAAAATCTGGATAAGTCTCATAGAGATAAATCCAATATGTGGACTATTTGTGTGGTCTTGATTGGGAACCTGAGTACAGACCCAAATCAAGAGTAAATAAAGAATTTGTTTAGAATGTAAATATTGAATTGATTTGTTGAAATAAATCATTAGAATAATTGATATGAATTAAATGAGAGAACCTTTTATGAGAAAGGTCAATTAAACCAATTTTGACTCTGTTAAGGTCAAACACCCAAAAATATGATGT